GAGAAATGATTATCTTGGAACTTTCTGCCAGTTGTGGGTGTGATCCTCCTACTTCTCTTCCAATATTAATATTCTGAATTTGGGTAGGAAATATTGTTTTTAACATTGTGTAAATACTCACTTCTTATTGTAGAAAAGCCATTAAGGTAAAATTTTATTTTTATTGAATTTCTTCAGTATCTAGCCTTTGGACGTATAGATAAGTAACTTAAGAATGGACTGATTGATGAGGGGGTGTGTGCACATATGCACACACAAGGATTTGCTCCAAGACAAGCCTGAGAGAAGGCTTTGAACACAATAAAAATCTTTATTAAGATTTTAATCATTTCTTTTGCTGTCAGTCTTTTCTAGCTAGACAATAAGTGGGCTGCTACCACAAGCAAAAAGTGCTCTCCAAGTGAAACATGGATTGTTAGTTATGTAGAGATTTTACTTCTAAAGAGTTAATTTCAACAATCAACTAAATTTTGTGCCACCATTCATATGTTAAAAATCTACCCCACAATGTGATGCCATTTGGGTGTGAGGTGTTTGGGAGGTACCCAAATGGCATCATGAGGAAGCCTCATCATGGAATTAGAAGAGACCAGAGAAAGACAGAAGAAAGCTTGTTTTTCTTCCCATCATGGGAGGATAAAAGAAGATAGTCATCTGCGAAACAGCAACAGAGCCACATGCTGGATCTGCTAGCCCTCAATACAGCAAGAAATACATGTTTGGTTTTTAAGCACCAGGTCTAAGATATTCTGTTACAACAAGGGGAACTGGCTAAGGCAAATCCAGAACATACTCTTAAAAAATTCACAGAACCTAGGTGCAGTGATACATGCCTTTAACTTGGGAGCTAGGCAAGAGGATTGCAAGTTGGAGGCTCAGCAACTAAGCAAGACCTTGTCTCAAAATAAAAAAGGGCTGGTGATGTAGCTCAGTTAAAGCTCCCCTGGATTTTAATCCTCATTGCAAAAAATTAAAATAAATAAAATTATACATTTTATTGCAGAGGTTGAAGTGTTCTGAAATATATTTCTAAATATTTGAGCTTCCTAATAGAAACTCCAGTTTAATGACTTTTTCACCTCAGATACAAATTTCAGAAGAAAAACTCTTTTATATATCTGGGAAATACCTTACTTGACTTTTGAAATTGTCAGTGAGCTTCTGTAGTATGTTACAAGAGGAGACAGATGATAATCCTAAAAACTGCACTCTAATGTCCTACTCTTCACCCCAACCACAGAAAATTGGCACAATATCTGAAGCAGGGAGAGGAAGAGGCCAGTTGAGGTTTTGTTCTAATTAGATGTAGCAGGACAATGGAGATTCAGGGTCAAAATAAAATTGAATGACAGAAAACAAAGCACTATTTCTTGTACTCATGATTTTGAGAACCGATACTCTTATTGTGCTTACTGGTCATTCATTTATTCAACCAGTATTTTGGACCTACTTTGTATATAGTAGGAGAGAGATACATGTACAACATATCTCATTTAGCACAGTGAACCCATGGTAATAATAAACTATTATGATAGAAGGCCTTGCACTAGTGACTGGCTGAACCTGATAAGAATGGGCGACTCTGAAGCAAATTATATTCTTGATAAGTTGAGAAGACAGTCAGGAGTCACTTCTTTGAAGTGAAGATATTAATGCTTTTCTTTCCTATGTTTCTCTAAAACATGTTCCTTCATAGGCTTTCTCCGCTCATTCCAGCAGGAAATCATCTCTTCTTTTTTGGAGCTGCTATGGTACATTATCTATACTTTTGCTATGGCACTTATTTTAACTAGCTTTTGTTAAAGTGTCTGGCCTTTCTTTCAATACTCCTATGAAGAGGGTTGTTTCAAAGTATTTTCACCATATCATGTATATAGTAAGCGCATTGTAAATGTTATGTATATGGTAGACAAGTTACTACCAAATGTTCCCCAAAATATAGATTTCTTGCATCAGTACCCTGGGCGATTATTAAAATGCAGAGTCCTGGATCAACTCCAGTTCTAATGAATTGGAATCTCTAGGTATGCAACTGGGAACCTACATTTTAGTGAACTCACAAGAATATGAATTTCAGGATATTACATTTATAATAAAGTGTGGGAATGCAAATAGGTTTCAGCTATAATGCTGACTCTGGTAGTGGATCCACTGAATGTATTCTGAGTCTGAAACAAGATTCCATGGGAAATGTGGCTTCAAAGGCCCACCAGGGACGAGCCAAGGGAATGGGGAGGGGCCAGTTTATGTGCAGCACATTTGGCACCTCTGAATATTACTCTCGGGAATGGGGAAAGTGTTCCACATCTAAGAATAATCACAAGTCATCTTTGCAGAGGTTTTTGAGTCTTCAAGATTTTTCTATAATTTTCATGGAAATTTCAGGAAATGGAATTTTCAGGGTGGCATACAAGAATTTCAAAGAAAAATATTAATTGGGGGAAAATTCCACTCACTAAATGTTTATTTTTACTTAATGATATTAAACAGTAGTTAAGTGACATGGGGAGCCTAATTAACTGTGAATATCATTTTTGCTTTAGCTACTCAGATTATCTTTGTAGAATTCTTGTGTAGGTCTTTTTTGCTTTTGTTGTTGCAGCTGTCCCTTCTTTTTATTATTATACATGTGCTTTATAATTATTGAAGAAACTTAGAAAATATAGAAAAGAAAAAAAAACATTTAAAACAGCATTACCTCAGGATAACATCTGCTAAATGTTTCCATGCACATACATAGTCGGTTTCTATATAACGTTGAGTGACACCCAGAGAAAGCTACACAACTACTTAATTGTATAACTCTGAACCAATGGCACACATATCTGAATGTCAACCTTTTCATTAATTAAGTAAGGATAACAACCACCATTCTGCCCCAGTCAGACCTTTTTTAATGCTTCTTTTCACATTTGTTCTCAGTAATCCATAGATTGCTAAGGCTTTGATTTCATAAGTTATGTTTTCCCCTTCATAAATCTACTATAACTGTTATTTTAGATACTCTTTGTTTTTTAGACACAACTGGAAGGACAGCTGAGAATAATAATCCACCTGTTATAACTAAACTGGGTAACCCCCCAAATCATAGGTTGAAGTCCTAACTCTAATGTACTGTACTGTGTTTGGAAATGCGTCTTTAAGGAGGTCATTGTGGTAAAAATGAGGTCATGAGGGTAGGGATCTAATTTAATAGAAATGGTATACGCTTACAAGAGAAAGAGATCAATACTGTATATATGAGCACACACAGAAAAAGAATCATGTGAAGATCCAATGAGAACGTAGCCATATAACATTTAATAAGGCTGAGCACGGTGTCTGTAATTCCAGGGACTCAAGACAGCTGAGGTAGGAGGACCACAAGTCTGAGACCAACCTCAGCAATTTAGTAAGAACTTGTTTCAAAATAAAAAGGATTGGGAATACAGTGGCAAAGCACCCCTGAGTTCAATCCCCAGCCCCCCCCCCCCCCCCCCCAAATGAATGTCAATGAGAAGGGATGGGGCTGTAGCTCCATGGTAGAGCACTTGCATAGTATGCATAGGGCCCTGGGTTTGATCTCCTCAATGAAATGAACAAGTGTGCGCACACCCAAAAGTCAACCAGACAGGACTCGGGAGAAACCAACCCTAGGAGCACCTTGATTTTGTACTTCTAGTCTCCAGAACTGTGAGAAGTAAATTTCTGAAGTTCAAGCCACTCAGCCACTCATTCTATGCTGACAGCTCTAGCTGACAAAAACACCATTGTTTATGAACATTTTTTTACTATCTCATATTTCGTTTTTTGTGTATAATTATAATCATCAATCCTCACAATCCTAGAAAGCGGGTGTTAATACAATTCTCACAAACAAGGAAGTTGAGGTTCGGAGAAGTTAATGGATTGCTCATACCCATAAAATAGTGCTGTTGCATATATTAAGAAAACTTCTGCCAATTTGTCTATTAACGTCATTATACTGTGCTGATATCCTATGAAAATTAAATGAGCCAGTAAGTACAGAGAACTTGTATCTTGCCTGTCCATGTGTTAAATATTATCTATTGTAATCAAGCAACACATTTGCATTGGTTGGTCCCTTTTGCTTGCATATTCCTATAGTCTCTTGACATCTTAATTAAACCCTTCTTTCAAGACTCAACTTGGGGTTGAGGCTGTATGTAGCTCAGTGGTAAAGTGCTTGCCTCGCATGTGTGAGGCACTGGGTTCGACCCTCAGCACCACGTAAAAATAGATACTGTGTGTTCATCTGCAACTAAATAAATATTTAAAAAGAAAAGACTCAACTCACGTCTCCTAGTGCTTACCTTGTCCCTACCCCCATCTCATTTATCTCCACCGGTTCTCTTCAATGTCCTCGATATTGTTAGTTAACTGTTGTTTGTAGCACTAGATTTGACAGGTCTTCGTCCTTCTGGCGCACTTTCTGAATGACTTCACGGAGAGCGCCATTAAGTAATGAGATCCGTAAATTATCGTTCTTAACTTTTGACCTGCCTTGTGTATAGTGACCTGCCCCGAGATAGGAAAGAACCGTCCTCAAAGTTCTTCCCGATGTGGCCTTATGATCTTCCCCCCTTCTTTTTGGTACTGGGGATCAAACAGCGCCTTGATCATGCTACGCAAATGCTCTGTCACCGAGCTACACCCTCAGTCCGCCTTATGGTCTTAGGCAGCTACCATGAATCTCAAAGAAAATGGGGCAATTCTCTTCCTGCCCCACTCCACGTAAAACCCAAATAAAACCTCCTCGTCTGGAAAAGTAGGAACACACAAACTTCTCTAACTCGCGGACTGCAGTAGGTGCGTGACTGCTACGCGCCTGCGCCTGCCCCTTTCGGAGAGCGTGCGGCTCCTCAGTCGAGGGTGGGGCCATACTTCGCGTTTTAGGATTGGGCGATGGAAGCCTAAACGGAAATGACGTCAAGAGCGCAAGCGCCCGCGGCCGGGCCGCGCGGTGGCTTCTGGGTGCCGCAGCCTTTCCTTTCCGCGCCTCTCCCCTCCCCCTTCCCGTCCCCGCCCCCTCGGCCGCTCCGCTCCTTGGCGTGACTCGGCACTGAGATCCCCGGGAGGAGACTCCGCTGTCGTCAGCTCCACTGTCCAGGCCTCAACCTTCCTAAGCCTCTCTCCTTCCTCTCCCGGGTTGTCTTCTCATTCAGTTTTGAAGCCGGAGGCGTCTCGGCTGCCCTGCCAAGCTCTCTGTGAGGATGGTGGGAGTGAAGCCGGTCGGGAGCGACCCTGATTTCCAGCCGGAGCTGAGCGGCGCGGGCTCTAGACTCGCCGTGGTCAAGTTCACCATGAGAGGGTGAGGCCGGGTGGGAGCACCGTGGGCCCGCGTCTGTCGACCCGTGCTTTCCTTTCACTCTTTCCGGGCCCAAGTTTCCTTGTCCTTTGCTCTGGAGGGTCCGATGATGGCCGCAGCCCCAGGCCGCTGTCAGGATTAGGCCTCAGCCCTCGGATAGGAGCCTCTGTTTATGCACCGGGGCCTTCCAGGCCTGCCCGGAGCCCTGGCTGGCCATCTCCCTCAGCTCCGGAGATCCCTGCCCTGAGCAGAGACCTCAGTAGAGCTCGGCCCGCGACACCTTCCAGCCTTCGGTATTTGCTCCTGTCCAGGAGAGCAAGCTGTCATTTGCATCTTAGCAACTCTCTAGAAGTTTAATTTTCCAAACACTTTCATTTCCTCCATCACCTGCATCTTTGTGAAGCCTTTGGCAGATTCAGATGGGGCTCTCCAACTGATCTTACTAATGCGTGGTTTTAAGGCTCGGGTAGTGCATTTTACATTAAGTTAATGTTGGATTAAGATGCTTTTTAATGTCCTTATCGTTTTGTTCCTTGTTTGGTTGTGCCTTAGGCTCCTCTGACTACGTTGGATTTATAATTGCATACATAAATTATAGTTCGAAACATATATATTACAGATAGACGAGTGACCAGACATCTAGTTTGATCAAATTCCGTTTTGGGAATTTATAATTTAGGATGACAAGGATCTTGAAAGATGTTAACTGTCTTTGGTAGATCTCAACAAAATGTATAGGTAACAAAGCTGATGAATCTGTTATTTTGGGTGTATGATAATGTTGTACTGTGAAAATGACAGGTTGTAACTAGGCATTGAGAACCAAGATTCAGCTAGTGTTCATATTTACTGATAGATTCCCGCCCCCCCACACACCATGAATGTCAGTACTTAGAGGGTTTAGAGGTTTCCCCTTGACCTCTGGCATTATTTATACATATGTTAGCCCTGGAGAAATCTACTCCTGATATCAGTTTATGTAACATGTTCTCTCAACCAAGTAATTTTCTGAATATAAAGCAGTATTTTGAATGTCAAAAATGTTCAACTGTTGAATATATAAATGGTGGCATTAGGATTAGACAGTTTTAGGGGAATGAGCGTTGCATATAGATTTTAAAAGTTAGCTCTTCCTATTAGCAGCCTGAGATGATCTGTGAAAATGGTTTGTTATTCTCTTGACCCAGAAAACTCCACAAAATCATGCGATTCAAGAGGTTCAAGTCTTCACATTCATTTTAAGGACACCTGGGAAACTGTGAAGGCCATCACAGTCTATGCATAGCCAAAAAGCCAGCAAACATCTGAAAGATATCACTTTAAAGAACCAATGTGTGCTATTCCAAAGTTACAGTGATGGAGTTGGGATGTGTGCCTAGGCCAAATATAAGGGCTGAACATAGGGTCCAGTGGCCCAAAAAGAGTGCTGAGTTTTTGCTGCACATGTTTAAAAATGCGGAGTAATGGCTGAACTTAAGGGTTTAGATGTAGATTCTCTGGTCATTGAAAATATCCAGGTGAGCAAAGCACCCAGGATGTATTGCTGTACTTAGAGAGTTCATGGTCCAATTAACCCATACGTGAGTTCCCTCTGTCCCATTGAGATGATCCTCATTGAAAAGGAACAAATTGTTCCTAAACAAGAAGAGGAGGTTGCACAGAAGAAAAAGATACCCCAAAAGAAAATGAAGAAACAAAAACAATTGGCACAGCAGCATAAAATAAATGCAAATAAAAGTGAAACAACAGCAACAAACAAGTTAGGACATATTTTTGGACCAGCCTCACACAGAGTTAAAAAAGGGTAGCACGTTGGATTTATTAGGGTGGTATATATTACTCATATGATATGTGAATGTTTATTTTATTAAATTGAAGAAGTTAGATGATCCTTGATGGTTAGATGATTTCTAAGACATGTCTAAAAGAAATATCTAAATTCTATAAATGTGTCTTCTCAGCTTTAACAATTTTGTAATTCTTTTGACTTATAATAAGGGAATACCTGTACAAATTTAAAGTGTAGAGGCCATAGTAGAAAAAAGAAGAGAAGATTCCATCAAGGAGTCTTACTTTTCTAATTCTGGTTAGTTGGAATTTTTATACTTTTGTCCTAAGTGATATTTTCCCCCTTACCATAGCAGAGGAAGAGGTGAGAAAGTAATAAGTACTTATTAATTGGAATGAGAAAAGTGGAAAAACATATCTATTAAGGAAACTTCCATTACCAGAATGGCATTATGTAAGCATAATTATAAAACATTGGTTGTTCAAAAGCTGTTATATTTAAAAACAGTATTTTAGTGGAAGGAAAATTATTATAAGCAGTGCTATTTTTGCTATAGTTTGTGGATATGTATGTATGATATTTATCCTGTATGATGTTTATCTTGAAATGGTGGATGTATCACTTTTGTAGACAATGTTTCAATTTTCTTAAAGCAGGCTTTACTTTGTAGTTAGGTATCATTGTCACTGTGTAAGAAGGATGTAGTGGTCATGTAGTTTGTCCAAATGAGAGAGAGAGAGAGAGAGAGAGAGAGAGAGAGAGAGAGAGAGAAGACAGACAGACACATACATATGTTTAAGTTACATATAATATAAAATACTGCATATTTTCAAATTGCTGAGAACTGAAGGTAGTTAACTAAAAGAAAATGTTAGCAGGCTTGACAGTTTGTAGGAACCAGGCCCATAATGTTAGTGAGTGAAGTAGGTAAGTTCTAAGACTAATCTTTAAGGACATATTGAGGCCTTTAAGTAAACTTTTTAATTGAAGGTTTATTTTTTTCTGAAAAATTTAATTAAAGTATATATAAAAATGTGTACCACTTATTAAAGTATACAGTTTGATGACATTTCAAGTGATCACACCTATCTAACCAACAGTTAGATGAAATATAGATAATTATCAGCAAGTCAAAATCCCTACACCCCTGAATTTTAACACTTTATATTAGTTTTGCTGCATTTAAACTTTATAAGAAATGAAAAATACAGTATTGTAGTTTGGCTTCCTTTTAGTAGCATATAAATAGTTTGATCTTAGCAATTGATTTATAAGTAACAATGAAAGCCGTCCTGTACTTTGCTGTTTTGGAGTTTTGGGAATAATGGTTAACAGTTGGGATCTGGGATCAAATTCTGGCTCAGTATTTCAATGGTCTTGAGAGTTGAAAAGCTTAAATTAAGTGATAGCAGTTTAGGAATCTTGTGAGTTTTGTAATATAGTTAAGTGCCCAATGAATGTTACCTATTTTATGTAATTAATAGCAACCCTTAGTTTTGGTACATTTATAAATTGCTTATTTTGAAGTTATATGCTCCAGAGAAATAATACTTTTTTTTTTTTTTTCGGTACTGGAGGTTGAACCCAGGAGTGCTTAACTACTGAACATATCCCCAGCCCTTTTTTATATTTTATTTTCTCTAAATAGTGAGTTACATAAGCCCTCGATAAATTGTTGAGGCTGCCTTTGAACTTGCAATCCTCCTGCCTCAGTCTCCTGAGTCTCTGGTTGCTCCTGGGATTATAGGCCTATGCCACCACACCCAGGACGAAAAATAATACTTTTAAATATGACTTTAGAAAACACATAAGTTTCCTTTATCCATTTCCATCTGTATGTTTATACAAGCTGTGTTGCTAAAGATAGAGCATGGGCTATTGTAACAAATAGGGAAGAATAGTTAACAAGTTCATAAAATAGAATTATAGTTGTAAAGAAAAGCTTTATTAATAAGAACCTAATATAGTGCTTTCAAAGAAGGCTGATTTAGGAATTGACTGCTCTGATTGTGTCCCTGCCACTAACTAGGGTGTTGGATCCTTGGTAAGATATTTAACTTTTTCTGGTCTTCAGTTCTTAAAAGATTGTAAGTTCTTATAATTTACACTAGTTTTAAAAATTTTAGTTTTTTGAGTTTGTTCTTTGTATATTGTAGAAGGCTAGAAGTTCATTTTCTGTATTCTCCCCTCTAAAACCATAATTTAAAATTAAAATCCTTCTTACATATCCGTTTTATGTATCAGACTAAACGTAAGCTTTTTTTTTTTTTTTTTTTTTTTCCCATTTGTAAATCTCTGGCCTAGGTGATTGATCTCTGGACCCTTTAGCAATAAGATCAAAACTCCTAACCCATGAGCAGGGCTGCTAATCAAAGTTGTTAAGAGAGCAATTTAATTTTGAAATTCAAACTTACTGGTATACAATAGTTTAGAACTAGGAAATGTTTTTGGAAAATCAAATCTTTATTTTATACTTGTTCCTGAACTCAGCTATAATGGAAATTTATTTCTTTTTTTCCTTTTTTTTTTTTTGGCAGCGGGGAAGGTTGGTGCTAGGAATTGAATCTGAGCCTTGCTCATGCTGAACACATGCTCTACTACAGAAATTTGCTCCTCAACCCTGAAATTTGTTTACTCTTGAATGCTCATGTTAGAGAAGGCAAACATCTTATTTAGAATCAATTTATTTGAATGACTGTCATGAAAACATGCTGCCATATACATGTATACTTTTGTATATATTTGTGCTTCTCTGTTTTGTTACTTATTTTGAATTTTGACTGAAGTTGTAACCCAAGATGGCTAAGTAAAATTAAACAAAATATTTAAATCAGGTTAATTCTTGAAATAATTATTTGAATGGTAACATTTTAGTACAGTCAGTTCAACTACAGGATGTTTCTTCAACAATGGTTAGCTCATTGATGATTGATCAATAGTTGAGAGGTGATATGTATATAATGTGGAAATTGTGTTGGTTTTCTGTATGATCTTTTTCCTAAATAGTGAAGAGCAGAAATAAAAATAAAACCTTTGGTTAAAAGAAGAAAAGCCCTCAGCCATACAGGCAGTTTCCCATTCAGCTTTAACTTGAGAAAGTTAATAAAATTAAATATGAGCACCTATACTGAGCACTTGTTCTTCAGAAGGGTTGCAGTTCCTCCTGTTGCTCTCAGTGGCAACCCCACTGATTCAGAGCCCTATTTCCACCTGTACTATCACAATACCTGTAAGTATCATTTCCACTTGACTGTTTTGTTCATTTAAAATATCCTCTGAGGTAGCCTACCTGCTGGGATGTCCACCTATTTCCTGAGTCCAAGTTATTACTGTTTTTCTTGGTGATCTAGTAACATAGTTTCAAGTGCTTTGACTCAAGTTTCTATTTTTCATAAATCCTCATATTTTGAGTGCATGGTTTTGCAGTATGGCAGTTTTCAGAAACGGATATATTGTGTCAGCGTGAATATGTGTTTAAATTCAGTTAATGTTAAATTCTCTGTTTTCAACTCATTTAATTTTTTAAAAACTAAAAATGCCATTTTATCATTAAAAAGAAGGAAATTATGGATATTTGAAAAAAATTCATATCTAAATTCTCTTTTCCAGTTCCACATTGCAGAAGTAATTAGTGTTAACTATTTGTTATGTCTTGCCTAATTTTTTCTATGTATTTACATATATAGTTTGCATTTTCATACATATATAGTATCAAAATATGATCATAGAGATAGTTTTGGTTGACTGTACATGTGTTTCTGAGCCTGAGGATTCTTAGATCCAAATATTCTTTTTTTCAGAAACAATAAATTTAGTGCTTAATAACTGGGCTGGGGATGTGGCTCAAGCGGTAGCACGCTCGCCTGGTGTGCGTGCGGCCCCGGTTCGATCCTCAGCACCACATACCAACAAAGATGTTGTGTCCGCCGAGAACTAAAAAATAAATATTAAAAAAATTCTCTCTCTCTCTCTCCTCTCTCACTCTCTCTTTTAAAAAAAAAAAAAAAGAACTGCGTAGTTATTTTCTTAGCTTTTTGATGTGAGGCTTTATAATGACACAGGACAAAAATGCTGAATATGTTAAGAATGGGGTTGATCGTGACTTGAGTTAGTATTTGTTTTCATTTTGTGCTGTAGAATTTGCTTTTTCTAACATCCCTGTCTGCTAAAACCAAGGTTTTTTCTCATGTTTATTGAGTTATAATGTGCACAGTGCCCAATTATAAAGGTATAATTCAGTGAATTTTTACAAACTGAACATACGAGTGTAATCACCTCCCAGACAAACAAAATATTACTAGCTTCCAGAAATCTCCCTCCTGTCACTAAATCTCACAATGGTAACCATTGTCCTGATTTATAAATCATTGAATTATTTTGCCTATTTTGAAGTGTGTGTAAATGGGATCCATAAGAGTATATGCTGTGTAGTTTTTATTTTTGTGAAATTTCTTCTTTCTCTTGAGATTTTACATCAGTTATTTTCATTGTTGCATAGTATTGTATAAATGACTATAATTTACTCATTCTAATATTGATAAGAATGTGAGTAGATTTCTTGTTATTTACTGCTAAGAATATTACTATCATTAATTTTTTTCTCATGTGCCTTAAGGTTAACATTTTTGTTGGTGATATACTCTGGGAATGGTCATTGGTAGGTAGGTATATGTCTAGCTTAGGAAATAATGCCAATTCCTTTTTTTTTTTTAACCCCAAAAGATGCTTATTCTAATTTGCACTGTCACAAACAGTATATGAAAATTCAGTTGCTCCACATTCTTAAAAACAGTTCATTCTTTCTTGTTTTACTTATTTTGGTGGAGGTGGTTTTAACTTACATTTCCCTACTAACTCCCGAAGTCGAATACCTTTTTTATTTTTATTGATTGTTTGGATAATTTCACTTGGCAAATTACTGCTCAAGAAGTTACAGTTTTTTTTCTGGATGCCATTATTGTTCTTTTTTATGTATTAGAGTTCTTTACATATTAGATATGTTTTATGAGTATTTTTTCTCAATCTGAATTGCCCTCTCACTTTTATTTATTTATTTATTTAAATATTTAATTGATTTTATTTTTTAAATACATAACAGTGGAATGCATTACAATTCTTATTACACTTATAGAACACATTTCTTTATATCACTGTTTGCATATAAAGTATGTTCACACCAATTCATGTCTTCATACATGTACTTTGGATAATGATGTCTGTCACATTCCACCATCATTGCTAACCCCCTGCCCCCTCCCTTCTTGTCTTGCCCTTCTGGCCTTCTCACTTTTTTAACGGTGTCTTTTAATGAATGAAAGTTCTTAACCTTAGTATATTCACATACAGGAGCGTGGTGGTGCACACCTGTAATCCCCATGGCAGCTCAGGAGGCTGAGGCAGGAAAATTTCAAGTTTGAGACCAACTTCAGCCTCAGCAACATACAAGATCCTAAGCAATTTAGCGAAGCCCTATTAAAATAAAAAATAAAAAGAATTTGGAGGTGTGATTAAGTGCCCCTGGGTTCAATCCCTGGTATCAAAAAATATATATGTTTATGTTTTTTAAATATATTCAATCAAATTTATCAAATATATTCTAATACTTCCCATCTGGAATTTGTTTTTGCATATGATGTGAGGTAAGGAGTTCAGATTCATTCCCCCCTTCCCCATCTGAATAGCCAGTTGATCAGCACTACTTATTGAAAACACCATCCTTTCCCCACTGTACGACTGAGTCAACTTTTAATCAATCAGATGTAGGAGGGATCTGTTTCTGGACCTCATTCTTACTTTGATGAGTTTATTTATCATTGTACGGGTTGGGGTTGACTACCCTCTGTTTAAAATACATGGGTTTCAAATTTCAGGACTTTGGAATATTTGCATAGATTTTACCATTTAGTTATCACTAATCTGAAAATCTAAAATCTACAATGCTTCAAACTCTAAAACTTTATTATTATTATTACTTTTTGCAATGTCGAGAATCGAACCCAGGGTCCTTTGTATGCCATGCAAACACTTCAACACTGAGACATATCCCCAGCCCAAAATATGAAAATTAAAGATTCTCAGCCTGTATGCTAAGCTGTAGGCTCAGTACTGTGTACTCTTAATTAAAAAGTTTTATAGTAGTTCTTAATATGTGGTAATGTAACTTCTTCAATTTTGAATCTCCAAATGGCTCAGTTTGTCTTTGGTATTTTCAAATAAATTTTGGAATTTAAATTTGGTAATTTCTACAAGAAAACTTCTGGAATTTTACATTAATTCTAAAGATCAAGAAAAGGAAAACTAATATCTTGAAAACACCGAGTTTTCCAGTTTATGAACTTAGTATATCCCTCTATTTATTTAGGTTTTTGTTTAATTTCTTTCCATGCAGTTGGAAGACCTAGCAATATTAAACCTGAGAACTAATAAAATATTTGTATTAAGACAGTGTGGTATTGGTACAAGTATATGTAAATAGCCCAGTGGAAAAGACTAATGTGTCCAAAGCCAGGAATATATATTAGTTTGTTTTTATTTTATGTTTCAATTGCCATATACTTTTAAGATATAAATTAGTACAATCTTTGGTATTAATTTACTAAATGTCTGTTTTTTCTTTTCCACAGGTGTGGACCGTGTTTGAGGATTGCCCCAGCTTTTAGTTCTATGAGTAATAAATATCCACAGGCTGTTTTCTTGGAAGTAGATGTACATCAGTGTCAGGTAAGGGAAAGGAGTCCTTGTTTTCTTTTACTTTTGAATAAATTTGAAATCCAATGTGAATATCTTTTGTTTATCTCTCTATGCAGGTAGTACTTTGTCCTTTAGCAGGTAGGAAAATGTTATCATTTTTATGAATGTCATTCTGGCTACATTAGTTATGAAAGGTAGCACATTGTTGTATTTGTATTGGATTTGTATTTTTTTCCAGATGTAAAATTAATATAATATGGTTACAGTAACAGATTAGGCCAATATTCCTGATGAACTTAGATGCAAAAATATTTTTTAAAAATTAGCAAATTGTGTTCAACAACATATTTAGAAGATTGCATATTGGTTTTATTCCAGAGATGTAAGATGTTTTAATATATGCACATCAATAAATGTAATTCATCACATTAACAGAATTAATTAAGAATCATTAAGTAATCTCAATTGATACAGAGAAGGCCTTCAACAAAATTCAGCACCCATTCATGATAAAAACTCTAGAGGAACTAAGGATAGAAAGAAACTACCTCAACATCATAAGACTATATATGGAAAACCCAAAGCCAACCTTATAGTAAATGGGGAAAACCTAAAAGCATTTTCTTTAAAATCTGGGAAAAGACAAGATTGTCTACTCAGACTACTCCTATTTAATATGTTGCTAGAAATTCTAGCCAGAGCTATTAGGAAAAATAAGGAAATAAAAGGATAAAAATAGGAACGGAAGAAGTCAAATTATCACTCTTCGTAGATGATATGATCCTATTCCCAGAAGATCCCAAAATAACTCTACCAAAAAGACTGCTAGAGCTAATAAACAAATGTGATAAAGTAGCTGGTTACAAAATCAACATTAAAAAACCAATAGCTTGGGGTTGTGGCTGGGGTTGTGGCTCAGAGGCAGAACACTGGCCTAGCATGGGTGAGGCACTGGGTTCGACAAGATATTTTAAAAAAAAAAAAAAAAAAAACACAATAGCTTGGGCTGGGGTTGTGGCTCAGTGGCGGAGCATTTGCCTGGAAAGTATGAGGCCCTGGGTTTGATCCTCAGCACCAAATAAAGATAAATAACATAAAGGTATCGTGTCCATCTACAACTTAAAACACACACACACACATACACACACATACACACAAATATCAACAGTGAATCTGCTGAGAAAGAAATTAGGAAAGCAATTTCATTTATAGTAGCCTCAAAAAATAAAATAAAATCCTAGGAATCAGTCTAACCAAGGAGATGAAAGACCCTTTACAATAAAAACTGTAGAACATTGGAGAAAGAAATTGATGAAGACCTCAGAAGACCCATGTTCATGGATAGGCAGAATTTATATTGTTCAAATGACTGTACTACCAAAAGCAATATATAGATTCAGTGCAGTCCTGATCAAAATACCAATGACATTCTTCACAGAACTAGAAAAAAGAGTCTTAAAATTCATTTAGAAGAATAATAGCCATATGAATTAAGAATAGCCAAAGCAATTTTAAGCCAAAAAAGCAATGCTGGATGCCTCATAATACCATCTTCAAATTATACTACAGAGCTACAGTAACAAAAACTGTAAGATACTGGCGTTAAAACAGTTACACGGACCAGTGGTACAGAATAGATGACAAAGAAACTCACACAGGTATAGTCAACTGATCCTTGATGAAGGTGGCAAAAACATACATTGGAGAAAGACAGCCTTTTGTTTTTTGTTTTTTTTTTTAAAGAGAGAGTGAGAGAGAGGGGGACAGAGAGAGAGAGAGAGAGAATTTTAATATTTATTTTTTCTTAGTTCTCGGCGGACACAACATCTTTGTGTGTGGTGCTGAGGATCAAACCCGGGCCGCACGCTCGCCAGGCAAGCACGCTACCGCTTGAGCCACATCCCCAGCCCAAGACAGCCTTTTTAACAAATGGTGTTGGGACAACTGGTATTCCATATGTAGGAAGAATGAAACTAGACCTTATTTCTGATCCTGTACAAAAATCAACTCAAAATGGATTAAGAACTCAATTAGATCAGAAACTATGCAACTTCGAGAAGAAAATGTAGGGTCAAAACTCTAGCTTTTAGACACAGCTAACAACTTTCTCAGTAGGATTCCTGAAGCTCAGGAAATGATGCTGATAGTAAATGAGACAGCATCAAATTAAAAAGTGTCTGCACAGCAAAGGAAACAATTAACAATGTAAAGAAGGAACCCATGGAGCGGGAGAAAATCTTTGTTAGCTACTTTTCTGATAGAGAATTAATATCTAGAAAACATAATGAGCTCAAAAAACTTTACACCAAAAAATCAAAGAATCCAATTAATACATGGTCAAAGGAACTAAACAGTAACTTCTCAAAGGAAAAAATGCAAGTGGCCAAAAAAATGTATGAAAAATTGTCCAACATCATTAGTAATTAAGAAGATGCAAATCAAAGTACACTGAGAATGTATCTCACTCCAGTCAGAATGGCAGTCATTAAGAATACAAATAATTATAATAAATGCTGGAGAGGATGTGGAGAAAAAGGAACACTTCTACACTGTTGGTGGGACTAAATTAGTACAACCACAATAGAAATCTGTATGGAAGCTCCTCAAAAGAATAGGCATAGAATTACCTTATAACCCAGCTATACCACTTCTGAGTATTTATCCTGAATAATTAAAGTCATCTTACTGCACTAATCCCTGCATCCCATGTTTATAGCAGTATATTTCACAATTGCCAAACTATAGAATCAGCTTAGGTATCCATCAGTGGATGAATGGATAAAGAAAACATGGTATATATGCGCAATGGAGTTTTAGTCTTCCATAAAGAAAAATAAAATTATGGTATTTGTAGGAAAATGGATGTAATTAGTAACCATCATGTGAAGTGAAATCAGTTAAACTCAGTTTAAGGGTCATGTTTTCTCTCATATGCCAAAGCTAGACAGGAGAAAGGAAAACAAAGATGGGAGTGGATTTCCTAAAAATCAAAGGGATATCAATAAAGGAACCAATTTGTGAGAGATGTGGGGAGGGAGGGGGAAAGTGCTAGGGAGTGATATTGGCGAAATTATATTGTTGTGTTGTGTGCATGTACATATATATAACAACAGATCTCACCAATAAGTACAACTATAATGTAACAATTAAAAAAGGGAAAAAAGGGTAACAGATCACCTGGCAGTTCCATGTTTTACATTTTTAAAAAAATCTTTTCAATATCTAGATTTATTTATTCTACTAAGGCACTGATTGACTATAAAGTCATAATAGGGAATTCTTGTATTTGATTTGAATTGATCAGTTAGTAATCTTATCTCTGAAACTATATATTCAGCAGAAATTTTAAAATACTGATTACTCTTGATTGATATACAGTGTTGTAGGTAGATAAATTGCCCTGATGACTTAGTTGAAATGGCTGTATGACAGTTCTGTATTTGCATATTTAGAAATATGTAGAACTCTTAAGGAAAAAAAGAATTTTGGAAGGTTCTTCCATATACTAATTATAGAATTTTTAGTTCTAAGGAACAACTTTGCAGCACTTTTTTTTTTGAGACTTTGTATTTGCTACATTTCTGAGATGGAAAATTTTTAGAATATCATATAGTTAGAAGTTTGGGGATTTGGCGTAAGTCCTGCATCACACATCTGTGTTTTTGTACTTAAGTCATATGTTATTGGACTGTATCACTTCACTAGTCCTTATTTTAAATATAGTATTCACTATCTCTAATCTGAAAGTGCTTTCCTTTGGAACTCTGCTGTCTGGTGTGGAAATCACTAGTACATGTGGTTTTTGAGTGCTTGAAATGTGGCAAATTTGATTTTACCTGTTTCTTCTTACTTTTTTATTGTGGATGCTAGAAAATTCAAAATTACATGCATAACTCATAGGTCATGATATATATTTATTTTGGATAGCACTGTTCTAATATGTTAGTAATTGTTTTTTTCACTTACATGGCTAAGAAGATATCCCTAGGCTCTCTTTGTAGGTTTTTTTCTTTGAACAATATAGTGGTACCTTTTCATAGTATTTGAACATATAAAGTAATACATTTGCTTTACTACTTTTTTTTTTGTGGTGCTGGGGATTAAACCCAGGGCCTCTCACATGCTAGACAAGTGCTCTAGCACTGAGCTATACCCCCAGTCCCCAACTACTTTCTAATACTTATCCACAAAAAGTTTGAATCATATTTCTTACTGGTTATTAATGGCTAATTTATTTGTGTTATAAAATTGAGTTAGGGCAGAATTTTAAAAGATAACTTGCACATTTGTGGATGACTGGAATTCTCTGTTTCTATAAAAGTAGAAATTGGGTGAGGGTTGCAATACAAAAGACATTGCCTCCTTTTTATGGGTAGATAGGCAACATTTTTCAGATATGTACTTTTTCTTAGTAGCGTTGGTTTGTGTTAACTTAGCAATACCCTTTGTGGCTGCTCATTCTGAGAGATACATACTGTGTAATTATGAGTTAACTGTCGAGTATAAAGCACAATTTCTGTATTGTAAGCTAATTATTCTACTGGATGAAGTATTTTTATAGTAAAACTTAAAAAATAGGGTTGTTCTTTTTTGTGGGTAAAGGTAACATTGCTATGCCTCAGTAGGAACTCTCTTAGAAATAGGTCTGCTTCTTTTTAACAATTAGGAATATGTTGTCTTACATATTTTTTTAGTTAAAGCTTGTGATATTTAACTTTCATAAAGGTATAGAATGAATATTCAAAATGGTTAAGATTAATTTTAATTTATAACAGTGTTTAATTTGCCAATTCTAGGGAACTGCTGCCACAAACAATATATCAGCAACACCTACGTTTTTGTTTTTTCGAAACAAAGTGAGAATTGATCAATATCAAGGAGCAGATGCTGTTGGATTAGAAGAAAAAATCAAGCAACACTTAGAAAATGACCCTGGAAGCAATGAGGACACAGATATTCCAAAAGGCTATGTATGTAGATAGAAAAATGAAATAATAATATCATTATTTGGTTGAAATGAAATGAAATTGACTATGTGTTCATATTTTTTCTCTTACTAATTCAGAATATTTTCATGTAAGAACTTTGAAACTGAAGTTGACTATTGAGTGTTGGCTGTATGTCTGTGTTATAACCTTAAAACTACATCATAAACTACTTTTTCCTAAATTTCTCCAGCTAAATTTCTTTCCCACTTGTTTTATCTGTTCCCTGAACTGTTTAAATAGCCACATTCTAATACTTGTTTTATACTTTATCCCCACAAAAGTGAAGAAATATGTATTGGAAAGTATTTCACTTTTTATAACTATGTAAAATAATTTGTGAATTTTAACATGTGACTATTACCTTCTGAACTCCCTTTGCCACCACTTCTTATAGTTTTCTCTATCTTTTTAAATGTATTATTACCTCTTTTCTGGCATTCATTTTTTTTTCTTTAGTTTAGTTTTTGGTTTAATTTTGTCTTAGAATCAAATGTAGTATCGTGTTTTCCTAAGTTTTAAGAGCAAATTAAGAGCTGGGGTTGTAGCTCAGTAGTAGAGCACTTTCCTAGCATGTGTGAGGCACCTGGATTTGATCCTCAGCACCACATAAAAATAAATACAAGTATTAAGTCCATCTAAAACTAAAAAAATATTTTTTAAATAATAGAGTAAGTTAAAACCTTTTTTACATAATAACGAATAGTCTTTGAAAACTAGTCTAAATAACTGTAATGCAGTATTTTTATAGTTTGAGAGCTATTCAGAAAGGAAGTAAAATTCAGAAGTATCTCAAGGTAGCAGATTTGTTTATACAAACTTGTAAATTCTGCATACTAATATGTTAATTTGATAATTTTTTTGTATACATTTTTCACAGTATTGCTGTATTGGTAGATCAAACAATGAATTTTTAAAAATGTTACCTCTTAAGTTAAAACTAATATATTTTAAAATGTGTATCAGATAAATTAAAGCAGATCTACATGATAGAGTAATCTGTAAGTCCTTTCAAAAATCTTTTAGTTCATGCTGAGTAAGGAGAAAGTGTAGTCAGGTAAATAGGAGAGATTCTTTGTATGTGTTTAAGGAGTGTCAAACAGTGTCTGTAATGTGTGATACTGGCATTAATGATTTTAAGTTCGGGAAGTACAGTTAGTGTTTATTTAAAATAGAACTGTAATTTGAAGTTGTAACATCCAATTAGAAAGTATGAACATGTTGTTGAAGTCAGGGCTGATAATTACTGAGCTGGGCCCATTTTGCCTGTCATGTAGCATGCCAATCACTGAGATGACAAGTTTTGTAAAAGAGAAAGTTTATTCACAAGGGAGCCAAGTGTGGAGATGGAGTGTAAGTCTCAAATCTGCCAGTCAGAGATAGAATTTAGGGATATTTATGGGGATGTGACTTGGTGGTAAAGCACCCCTGGGTTTAGTTCTCAGTACTACCCCCCACCAGAGAGAGAGAGAGAGAGAGAGAGAAAGAAAGAAAGAAAAGCAAACAAGCAAGCAGGGTGGTCTAAGACCTGAGAAAAAGTGTAGGTAACTTTGTGGCTTTCCAAAGTATGTATGTTTGGAAAGTAGAGAAGTTAATGTGATCTCAGAACAGAGAAAGAAATCACCTGTTGGACGGGACCAAGTGAAGGCGCAGTGGTTTAAATTGGTCTAAGCTAGATAAAAGCTGCCTCCAAGTTCCTGAAAAACAACTTAGGCAACTGTTACTATCCTGATCCACATTACAGAGGTTTTATCTCTAGCAAAGTTAAATAGTCTTAACAATATATTTTGATTTCATCATCAGCACCTCTCAGTTTTTATTTTAGTCCTTGTAGCTCATGTCCTTTATCTAAGATTATCTTTTAGTTTTATACAGCTTGGGATCATCCCTAGGGCAGAATTTGTGATATCTCAGAGCCCATGTTCTGTAAAACATCTTACACAACAGTTAGAAAGGAGCAAATTAGAATCAGAAGTAAAATGTATAAAGGATTGGTTAGTGTAAATGAGATTAGGTCAGCTGTCTTTGTTAGCTGGCAGTTTTAAGCTAGAAGAGAGGTCTTAATTCTTTTGATGCTTTCATTTTGGGGATTGTGTTTCAGGTAATTCTGCAAGAGGTACATGTTTACATTTGTAAGCCCTTTTTAGTAAATGCTTAACAGAAGGTTGTAGCCTGTTGAACTTGGTTTCAGTGACACTGTTTAAAAATTTTTGGAAATCACTTAACTTGTAAACTGTTGTGTTTGTATTTTTGTATTATTATTTTTTCCTTTATTGCTCAGTGTGTTTGCATGAAAAAAAGTCTTAAGAATATGACAGTCCTGCTAAACAGTGATACTTGTTTACAAACATCAACCAAGTGTGATATCAGTGTTTTGGTCTCGGGTAGGATCTAAGGTAGGGGGTGGTGGAATGAGTTTTAAGGAATAAAAATTTAGTTTTCATGCAAATATTGTATACAAAATGTGCAAAGCTATTAAAATGTATGCATATTTTTTCTATCAGGTATCACTCAGGACATTAAAGTTTTGAACTATTTAGGTCCTATACGTTTATTAAATATTTAAAGCTAGTAATATGTTCCTAGGAATATTCTTACCATACAAATAGACAATTAATAGGGATAAGAGTCACTGAATGAAAACCTGTATCTTAAGTAGTTTTTTGATAAAAATGTGGGTTTCTTGGAATAAAGAGTTTTAATCATTATGCTCTAAGACTCAGAAGCTTTGCAGTTTTGGTTTTATACATTCTATTGTGAAACTTTTCAAAAAACATTTATTTAAGTATTTATTACATGTGGTGTTTAATTATTTATTATATGTGGTATTGGGGATTAAACCCAGAACTTTGTACGTGCTAGGCCAGTGCATTAACAACTGAGCTACCTCCCCAGCTATTTTGAAACTCTTAATTTTACAGGCGCCAGAGTTAAAAGGATATGAGGAATTTCTTTAAAAACTGACTGAACAAATATAATTCACTATAATTTTTAAGAGAAATTACATGTGTCTCTTTTGGGGTATGGAGATATTGCAAAGATATAAGTATGATACCCAGAAGCTAAAAATCTTAATAAATTCTTAATCAGATATAAGAAAATGTTTTTCTGAAAAAGATTTTTATTTCTTAAAATTGGTTTTTAAAGTTTGGAAAAATTTAAAGCATTGTATCTTGTTTCTCATGCATTTGCTAAAAGAGTAGGTAGTAGACAGTATAGCTTCAGATATTCCCCTTCATGCTTTCTGCTAGGTCTTCCTCTCTTCAGAAGTTTGAATGCTAGGCACTTTTGAATGGAGCTTGTGCTGCCTTGTGTTCTGAATCTTTAGATATATTAGTGTATTTCAGTACTGTGGAACTTTTGATTACTTAACTTGTTCAGGGATTTTGACGTACAAATTTGTCATAGTCGTCAAAATGAAATCAAATTTATGTAACCCTAATTTATGTAGTAAGTAGACAAACCTTTGTTGAGCCAAAAATATAGAAAGGTTCATATGACTTTCCTGTGTGTCCTATGTTGGATTTTTCTCTCTCCCCTATAAAGACTGAAACTTCTTTTAAAAAATTTAGACTAGTACAATAGATTACATATACACCCTTCACCTGTGTTTGTCAGTTGTAAATATTTTGCTGTTTTTGTTTTACCTCACTGCCCACTTTCAGTTTTTGCAGAATTCTGTATAAGTTAAGTTATAGACAGCTTGATGGTTCATCTCTTAATATTTTAACATGTAGCTACTTAGGACAAGCACATTTTCCTGTATAAATAACCATGGTACCATAATTACTTCTAATACATTTAATATTGATCCAACATCTCTAATTTCTTATATTCAGATGTTTTTAATAATCCTCAAAATGTCCTTTTTCCCAATCTAGGATCAAATTAAAGATCATGAATTGCATTTGTTATTTCTCTGGTGTTCTTCAGTCTAGAAACCTTTCCCTATCGTTTTTTTCCTTTCATGACTATATTTTAAAATTTTAAATTAACATCATTCTAATAATATGGAAACTACTAGGCACATGAGTAGATCTAACATTCATTTATGTGACTGAGTAAATGAATTTTTAATTTTATCTAATTTTAAATTGTTACATGTGGCTAGTGTCCATCATATTTGGCAGTTCCAAGCTAGACTATTCCACAATCTGAATTTATCTGATTTTCTTATGTGTCCTCATTATTGGCAAGTTGATCATATAGTTAGATATTTCTTTTTTATTGTATATTTTTAGAGTATCATTTTGCAGTTATGTCATAAGTCCTAGAATAATAATGTCTTGTCATAGGTAATATTGTATAAGAAAACACTTCAGTGCAGGTGTTTACTTTCTTTTTTTTTGTTCTGCGGATCAAACTCGGTGCCCCATGTATGCTAAGCATAGCACTGTACTATTGAGCCACATCCTCAGCCCTAAAGCAAGTATTTACATGTGGTATTTTTGTGTGTGTGCCCCACAGTAAATCAAAATAAAAGTTATATTAAATGATTTACTCATTTAGTTAATGTTCATCATTAAGATATTAAAAGTATGATTGCAAGGTTATCTTCATATGTAGGGTTTTAATCCTAGTGGTATGTAGGTAGATAAGGACAGCATTTAAAAGATTTTGCCAGGACTACCCTTTCAAGACAAATGTTCATAAAGTTCAGAATAATTTTACTACGGTAAAATTTTGCTCTGTAGCCTTCCTTTTCTTCTTACCATCTTTTTGAATTGGCTATGTTACCCTGAGTAAAACATTTAATATAACATTTTGACCTTGAAAGCATTTAGGGTATTTGATGAATAAATAGGGGTTTATACAAGTGAATTACTATCATTTTGAGTTTTATTTAATCTATGAAAAATATTTTTTCAGTTTTTCAAAACTATATAGTGTATATATGTATAAATACACATTTATATGTATGTAGTCTTTCAAATATATATTCATACACACTCAAACTCACAATATGAAGAAAGTCCTTTGTGATGGAAAGCTGAACAAGTGATTGATAATCTATACTACTTGGTAAACTTTAAAAGTAGTTCTTGTGATAAGTGAAATGGATACATATCTAAAAAGGCATAGTTTACCAAAACCAGCTCCACTATTTAACAGAACACCTAAATAGACCAATTAGCATAGAGAAATAAAGGAAACAGTAAAATAGCTCTTCTATAAAGGCCCATATAACTTCACAAATGAATCCAAATCTTTAAAAATCAGGTAATCTGATGTTACAACTGTTTTTTAAGATGGTAAAGAGAAAACTTTCAAATTTCTTCTTGAAGTAAATATAGTATCCCAGAATCTAGTAAAGTATATGCCAAAAAGAAAAGCCACAGATCATCTTCAGTGATGAGTATTGTAAAAATTTTAAATGTTGGTAAACAAAAATCAAACTTTTAATCTATTAGTAGAATTTTAAAATACTATCGTGAACAAAATTGGGTTTATTTCAAGCATTCAACTCTTTGGTGTTGTGGTGGAAATATGAAAGTGTTGGTCAACATACTATCCATGAGACAGGAATATGGTGACTGACACCACAGGAACCAGGCAGCAGAATTCATTGTAGTAAGAGATCTACAGGCTTAATGACTATAGATTAAAAGAGATTTAAGAGACATTAACCAAAGACCATGTTTATACTTTTTGGAATCTATATTCTGAGTTTAAAACTTCAATTCTAGAATATTTTATAAACAGCCCAGGAAATTATAAAACTGATACTTAATACTAAAGTATTATTACGGGTTTAGTGGCGATAATAATATTAAGGTGTGTATGTTTTTAAATAGTACTTATCTCTTAGAAATACTTATCTCTTCAGAAATACTGAAATGTTCATGAATGAAATGAAAAGATTTCTAGGATTTGCTTCAAAATAATTGGGACGCCATGTAAGTTGTCGGGGTGGGGTAGAGGTGAAACAAGTTGCCATGAGTTGGTGATTTTTATAGCTGGAAATGATAGATATTTGAAGTTCATTATATTCTATTTCTGTACATTGAAAATTTTCTATAATAAAAATATTATTAAGTCCCTATTTGTTACATATTCTAAAGTTAACTTTTTATAGGTGTAGATTTAAAGAGTCCAGGGTTTAATAGGAAAATAGACTTTCTTTGGATCTCACAGGTATTTTAATTTGTATAATCTCTACTGTAAAGCAGTTATTTAAAAAGTGTAAGTCAATTATTTTATAATTCTAGTGTTAAAGACTTAGTTTCTTAGTTTTCTACTTAGTAGAAAACCCAGATTTGGCTTTAATAATTAATGGTAGCTCTCAATCAGAAATTCAAATAAAAAGACCATTATAAAAGCTTTAGTAACTATTTATAACAAATGTTTTCTTTAAGATTGCTTAATCTAGAAAGAGTCAGAGATTTAAAATTTTAACATATCTCTACCAAATGCAAATACTTTTTAAGTTTTGATTTTAATTTTTTTCAGATGGATTTAATGCCTTTTATTAACAAGGCTGGTTGTGAATGTCTCAATGAAAGCGATGAACATGGTTTTGACAACTGTTTACGAAAAGACATGACCTTCTTGGAATCTGACTGTGATGAACAGGTAATTGCTTGACTGAAGGTATTGTCACTGTTTATCCCTACTATTTATTTCTTTATCATGTTCCCATCTCATGGTTCATATCTCTCTCTCTCTCTCTCCTCCAGATGATCAGTTCTTCCTTTCCTTTTTATAGCTTTTAGTTTCTTTGACTCTGATCCTTTGACCATCCAGATGCACTTTTTTCTTCTGTATAAGCTGCCAGACTTATTAAGAAAAATTGGAGAACTCTTGGATTGCTCCCACTGTTCGTTGGGACATCACCACTCTTTCGTCCTTTTTTTAATCCTTCATTTCCCTTCTATACATTTTTCCCACCCAGAAGAGTTTGTGTCTGAGGAATAGAGACTAATTAGATGAACACTCCCTATGTGGCTAGCTCCTCATTTCCACATATAAACCTGTACTGGTTTTTTTCTTTGCTTCCCTGCAACAACCTCGTCCAGAAGAAGTAGGACACAACAACCTTCATTGGGCCATTTTTTAACTTCACCTGGGTATTATTTTCTTTACTTTCTATGCCATTGTCTCTGATTTGAACTCATTCTAGTTCATCTTGTATATGCTCACAAAAGTTATTTTTTTGAAGTACAGATCTGCATATTTCTCTGTGTTTAAAGTATTACATGATTGTTCACTGGCTTCAAGAAGATATCTTGCTGGTTTAATGTGTTTCTGGCTTTTTGGTCTCTTATCCTTCTTTCATTTGTAGCTCAGTTCTCTAAACATGTAATGCTTTCTATTTTTTGATACATTATTATGAATAAAATTTAAAAAGTGTTGGTATAACCAAAGGAATTGGCCTAGTCATTTTCTTAGACCACAAAATGATTCTGAAATTATAAATCCAAATCTTAAATATAAACCTTTCATTAACAAGGGACACCTTATTATAGCTTTGAGAGTGTCATTCCTATTTTGTTCCTTGTGAATGGTACAATAACATGATATATATTAGCAGGACTGCCTACAGCCTCCCTGAAATCTTTCTTGCAGGTTAGAAACATAGATACTTATGTCCAAAACAAATATGGCTGGAAAGAGTGTTGAATGATGACTCACACATTATGAGACATAGGCATCCTGGCAGTGTTTTGTACCCTAGTTCTCTTATGTGGCCTTCCAGATTTAGTTAAATAACTTTAAGATGGAGGTTTCAAAGTATACTGTTGAGCTATAGAAGTTCTGTTCTGGGGATTGGACTCAGGGTCTCATGCATGCCAAGTACATGCCCTAGTCCTTGAGCCCTATTCTTTCTTTTGAGTTTGGGGTAGGAGTCCATATAAGGGCTAGTTTCTCTGTGTAATCTATTCATTGCCTCTAAATTATCATCCCATAAAAGCTGTATATTACATATTAACATGTGTAGTTTAAATTAGTTTAAATTTTATTTTAATTTGGGGGTGGATTTTGTTTGATTTGTTGGGAAGTAAATTGCCTGCCAGTTTTTAGTTTATAAGACCATAGGTTCTAATGCATAATTTTAGTAAATTTACGTCATTAATTTTTTTTCACCATTCACTTACATAAATAATTTATGGTGGTATTTCTCAAATGTCAATCTAATCAAGTTTCTTTCAACTTACTGATTTTTCCATATTGCATAGGTTTTGTTAGATGAACTTGGTGTTTTCTGTGTCTGTTATTTTTATTCTGCTTAGGTATTTTGTGTATTCAAGGTGTTCAAGAGCCCTTTTATAATGAAACTATTTTCCCCACAGCTACTTATTACTGTGGCATTCAATCAACCTGTTAAACTTTATTCCATGAAATTTCAAGGGCCAGATAATGGTGAGTAAAGGACAGCTTTTCTTCAAATTAACCTGCTTTCCTAGACTTGCTAGCACATATTTAAAACTTTTTATTACATTGAGATAGATATTCCTTGTCTTGGGAAAGAGTGGAATTGTTTTTGGAAGAATAGAAATGAATAGACAAAAAATGTGGAATTATTAGGGATCAGAATTATAAATAAATAGAACTTTTATTTCTAAACTTTTATTTTAAAATTTGTTTCCTGTTAGTGTACAAACTACTGAACCCTTCTTTCCAACTTTATATTCTTAGCAGCTGTTTTTTAGAGTCAAAACTAGATGAGATTGATTTTAAACCCTTCCTAAAATTTGGCTTCAGATCTTCCTATTTGTGCCCTGTCAGTAGTGTGTTTGTACGTTGACGTAGTTGTATAGACTTGCTGTTTCACTTTTGTAAAATAAAGCATTTTCCTTGCCCACCCTTTCCTTTTTTTTCTATTACTGATTTTTTTTTCTTTTGAGTTGGGGAGGGGGAAACCTAGGGAAATGGGGATCTAAGGTTGGTTGGTTGATTTGTTTACTTGATTGGGAGAAATAGCCAAGGCCCCCATTTATTAGATAGCATTTCCTTATCATGTATTATTCTAAATTTTCAAATGTTAATAATTTGTCATTCATAAAATTATACTTTTATTATGAATATTTATATAAGTATATATTGTAGAAATGTATCTTAATATTCCTTAGTTGGTCACAAAAATATGGACCTTAAGTTGTACCCTGAAATTAAAAAGGTTAAGACCCACTTGTGATCTTACTATGAGCACATTCCAAATCTAGTCCTTAAGGTGGAATTTGACAGTTTTTATGATTCATTCCCTTTTGGCTAAATAGTGTCACTTGATAATACTTTACTCCTAAATGACAAAATGTATCACTTGTTGGTAACTCAAGACCTACCTCAAATGCTGTTTCTTTTATGAAGATTTATTAACCTGCATATACTGTCAGAATCCATTGCTACCTTCCTTATACCTCCTCATTAGTGCTATTACTTTTATCATAGCATGTCTTTTGTAGTTAAGGACACTGACTTGTATGTGTACACATATATGCACATTCATGTGTGTATTTTAATCTTATATCCCTAATATTTACTGTAGTAGTGCTAGCTGTGCCAAAAATGTACCAGTAAATATGTATTGGGGAGGGAGGGATTGTCAAAATACTCAGACTTATATAACTCGTGATGGTGGAGTTCTAATAAATGTATATGTGGGTATGTGCATAGATGCATGTGCCCGTGTTTGTGTGTGTGTGTCTATGTATACTGTGAGTATACTGATAAAAGAAAGTATAGTATGTTCATAGTTTTTAGCATTTCACTTTATTCTACCATTTTATAGGTCAGGGTCCTAAATATGTAAAAATTTTTATCAACCTACCCCGATCTATGGATTTTGAAGAGGCAGAAAGAAGTGAACCAACTCAAGCTCTGGAACTGACAGAGGATGATATCAAAGAAGATGGCATTGTTCCACTTCGTTATGTTAAGTTTCAGAATGTTAACAGTGTAACTGTAAGTAGTATTTCATTAAGATATATTTAATGGGTTTGTGGTAACAATGCTAGATAATTTAAATGATCCTTTAAAGTAGTGTTTGTCCAGCTTTTTGAAATGAGTAAAAATGGGTTAATAAAGTTTCTTCTTTTTAATGTAACTATGTAACCTAAAGAGGAAGGACAGTTTGAGTTTTAAATATTTGTGGGTTTGTCAGTTTAGTTATGTGTGCATATATACATCAACTTCTGTTAAAAAGTTTATTCTACAACATTTATACTTAAATTTGTGCTTTATCTTTCTTACCTGGTAATGAGTTATAATATAATTCTAGAATCCTATTTACTTTTCTAGAATACAGAATTTTAATAGTGTGGTGGTCATGGTATCAGTAAAAATAACTTTTTTGGTTTTTTTTGAGTGGGCATACTGGGAATTGAACACAGGGTACTTTACCACTGAGCCATATCCTTTATATTTTTAATTTTGAGACACAGTCTTGCTAAGCTGCCCAGGCTGACCTCAAACTTGTAATCAATCCTCTTGCCTCAACCTCTCAAGTTGCTGGAATTACAGGTGTGCACCACTCTCTGTCTAAAAATATCGTTTTGAAAACATTATCTTACATTTTATAAAATGACCTAAGGTATAGCTGAATATTATGTAGTACCCGAGATAATTTTAAGTGATATATTCTAAATGTTGATTTTAAAGAACATGCATGCCTGTTACAAAAGTTCAGATGCTGTTTAGCAGTTGTTAATTGCTTTTGAGAATTTATTATTAAAACCCACCACATTCACTTTCACCAATCCCTCCCCATCTTTCAGAGGAGAGGAGGTTGGAAAAGAAAGCAGAAGGATATTAGAAAAAGAAACCAGCACAAGGTCATTGAGAACTAGGCATACCATTTATGATAAATTTCTGACAAATTTATCAGTCTGGTATGCCTAGATTTAATGGATTAATTCTGTTCTGGTTCATTGGAAGAATGCTTATAGTTTTTTGCTTTTCTGTATCTTCTACTTTGTGGGAACACTTGTTCCTTCCCTCTGTGAGATGCAATAACAAGGTGTCAACTTGGAGGAATAGACTAGATCCTCACTAGACACCAAAGCTGTTAGTATCTTGATTTTGGATTTTCCTGCCTCTGTAACTATGAGCATTAAGCATGTGTTCTTTATAAATTACCCAGTCTTTTGTTATAGCAGCAAGAAATGACTAGACAGTCCCCCTCTTCATCCTTTTCTCAAATTTCATTGGCTCACTTGATGACACTTAAACCAAACTCTGCAAAAATTAGACTGTAGTGGCATAGTAGCACAGGCCTGTAATCCTGGCAACTCTGGAGGCTGAGGCAGAAGGATGGCAAGTACAAGGTCTTTAACAATTTAGCAAGACAATGTCTCAAAATTAAAAGGACTAGCACGTTGGGTTCACTTTTTTTTTTTTTTTAAAGAAGAATGCTCTAGTGTGATTTTTTTTTTTTTTAAAGAGAGAAAGAGAGAATTTTTAATATTTTAGTTTTCGGTGGACACACATCTTTATTTTATTTTTATGGAGTGCTGAGGATCGAACCCAGCGCCCCGCGCATGCCAGGTGAGCGCACTACCGCTTGAGCCACATCCCCAGCCCCAAGTATGAATTTTTTTAAGCATGTTTTCAAAGAGTTTTACAGTTTACAAAGTTATAATGTGAAGACATGATCAAGAAGAGCAATAGCAGGGGGGAGGAGGTATTTGTTTATTGGAAAAAGTCCTTTGACTCAGAGATTCTGGAGTAATCGGTCATTGGGAGTCACTGAAGATAGTTATCTTGTAATAGGTTTAAGACTTTTTATGTACTCTCTTAATCAAAATTTTAATGACTTAAATGAAGACACAAAAGACATGCCTACCACTTTTTTTTTTGATGAAACTGGAATCAAAATAATAGTTTTGATTGGAGTCTAATCAAAGAAAGCAGATGAATTTTAAAAGCAAGAAATAATTGTGCTATATTCAAAGACCAAATACATTATGTATAAATAAGCTGTGTACTGGTAATAGTCTTTAAATTGATGGTAAACTCAGTTTGAAATCAATCTATGTTTGCCTATAAAAACAACAGTAAAATCCAGCAAATGAATACTATCATGGAATGAAAGAAATATGTCATCCAGATCAAGAAAGGCAGTATTTTCAAGTAGACAGTATCCAGAGTATTGTGTTTTAAAGATGGGGCAAGTAGGGCTGGGAATGTAGTATAGTGACAGAGTGTTTACCTGGAATGTGTGAGGACCCTGAGTTTAATCTTCAGCACTACAGAAACAAAAACATGCTGAGCAGAGTTTTAAAATGCAAAATGTGAAGCTTAAAAGTATGGAGGGCATAGTATAGTTTTAGGAGCTGATTTCCAATACTATTTTTTCTTTTAATATTCTAGGAATAGAATGGATGCATGAATATCACAAAGAATATAACTGCAGAATTTTCCTCAGTGACAAACCATGATTTTAATAAAATAATCAACAGCAGTCTATCCTATTATAATCATGAATCTCATACTCTTTCAACATTCTCTGTAAAGAATTTAATTATGACTACTCCATACCATCACACTAAATTACCATGAAATTGTGTATGTGGGTGTCTTGCCATGATACCCCTGGAGAAGGTGAGAATAGCAGAGCAAACAATGGAATTAACAGACCTTTAGGAGTATTAGTTTAAATGTTATGTAATTTAGATTAATCCTTAAAAAGAATGGAGGGTACTTTTATTAATAATCTAAGGAAACCTATTAAACCTAAAGTATTTTTATCAAAAAAAGATTATAATTATAAGTGTGATAATTTTTTTGTTAATTTTTGGCAGATATTTGTTCAGTCTAATCAGGGTGAAGAAGAAACAACAAGAATTTCGTATTTTACTTTTATTGGTACTCCAGTCCAGGCAACAAATATGAATGACTTCAAACGAGTAAGTTTGTTTAAATGTAATTAGAAAAATATAGTTTTATAGGAATAATTTCATATTTATCAGTAGTCATACTTTTTTGACCATAGAGACCCAAAATCATATTTCCTGGAATTTCATAAGGTTAAAGTAGAACAGTTTAATCACATTTTGAAATATCCATCTAAAAGGAGTGTAGCAGCACAGGAGATGTGTCACAGTGTTTCTTGCGGCTGTTATCTGGCAGCCACACTAGGACATGAGAAAAAGAGTTGTCCTAGGGCTGTGCATTCCTGAAGAATGAGGTGTGTTGGGGAATTGGAGCTGTAATGTTTTGTGGGGGATATCTGATTATCTGATTTTAATTCAGGTACAGAAGAAGTAATTGAATTATGTAATATTGCATAGTCTTATAATAAAATTATTGTTTTTACAAAACTGAAAACCTGCAGTAGATATCATAACTGGTCGTTTTTTTTTTTAACTACTCTCTTTCTTATAACTTATTAACTTTTGGAAGCTATTGGGACAATTATACAATTATGTACATTGATCTGTCGTGTGGATTTATAATATATGTATAATACCAGATCAGAAGCAGCAGAGATTAAACATCTACATTTTTACTATAAGAGAAATGTTTTCCTGGGGAAATGTATGAGCAACAAAGACGTTTGGGCTTCCTGTTTTGCTGCTTTGCCTATTTGAGTTAAATGCTATTGGACTTGCTTTAACTGTGACTTGCATAGTTTTTCATTAGCTTTGTTCTTTTCTGCAGCCTATTACAGTAAGCATTATTTTTCCTACCATTAATTTGGATCTAGTTTCCTCTTTTCCACCTCTGCTCATGTATTTGGCTTCCATTTTTTTCTCCTATAAATAGGTACCGTTCTTTCTTCTTGCCAGCTTGCCATTAATTAAAGTTTTTCTGATTTGCATTAATCATTGTTTATCTAAGTATCTAACTCTGCCTTTTTGTTTTATATACTTCCTCATATCACTTCTAGCCTAGTCTTTTCTCCTTTTTGACTGCCAAACTTCCCTTTTGAGGGCTGTCATTAGTTAGCACAGGGATTGGATTTCTTTTGCTTGAGAGTATTTGTGTTTGTAACAGTCATTGGTCAATTTAACCTTTTTGATATTGTTTAAGTTACTGTAGAATAAAACTAAAGTTGTTATAAAGTTGTAGAGTAGCAGTTCTCAAACTTTAGGGTTTCAGATTTCCCTTTAAGCTATGAAATATGATCAAAGACCCAAGAACTTTTGTTTATATAGGCAGTTTTTTTATCTGTTAGAAGTTAAAACTGGGAACTTAAAAAATTTATTTCTAACTAATAAACTCATCATATTAATTAAATATTATATTTTAATTCAAATGAATATATTTTTCCAAAAGAAAACCAAATTTAATAATAAGAAGGAGCATTTTATAATTTATTTTGAATTTCTTCACTGTCTACCCTCCTAATAGAGTTTTCTTATTCTCATGTCTGCTTCTGCATTTAGTCTTTTGTAACCCTTGGAAACCTCTTCTGTACCCTTGTGAGAATGAGAATTAAAAAGGCAAATAACTGTTTAGCCTTATTCTGGAAGTAGTTTTGACCTCACAGACTTTTAGAGTATCAGGGACCCCAGGCTGGGCCACATTTTGATAACTGGTATGAGAATAATTTGAATACTCTTAGGTTTCTCCTTCATAGATATTCTGCACTTCTTAGCTCTTTCCTTTTAAAGTCTGATGAATGTAGAGTGGTTTTTCTTAATTCTTAATATTATATTACATTTCCTTATAATAGTTTCTGGATGAGATTTGTTCTGCATATAGTCATTCATTGTCTTGTAGGGTTATTCCTCAAAAGTAAGCTAGTATTTCATTGTTTTTATATTATGTGAAGCCACAACTTCAATGAAGTAAAAAATTAGAGAGTTTAAAGTTTAATTGAAATCGGTCTATTTGGTCCTTGTATGGAGATGCTTATTAAAAACTATAAATGAGTTTGGGTTTCAGTGAAGGAAATAATACGCAGTTTAGTACTTTTGACCCTGTAGTACTATGCTAGTTCAATCATGATTCCTGTCTACACAGAGATTATCTTCTTGTAGGATAATTCAGACATATGGAAAATTAATCAAAATTTTATTCAAGGGTCTCTTCCTCCATAAAATATTCTCATATGTTTTTAGTCTCCTGATGTATTTTTCTTCCAAACAATCACTGAGAAAGTGTGAAAATACTTTATGAAGAAAGAGGGATTTGAAATAAAGTTCAGAAATAGAATTTGGGTGGAGAAGATAGTAATGGGCATTTAAGAGTGAAAAAGTAGAGAATTGGACATGAAAATAGGAAGGTGCAGGAGTCATTCAAGGACAAGTCAAGTATGACTGTCTTTCCCTTTACTTTTCAGTCAGTCTGAAATTAAAAGAGATTATGCATTGTAATTAAAATTTAAAATAGATTTGGCATGTATTTTATAGGCACAGGGAAGAAAGTTTTGATATCCTCTTTGTAGTGAAAAAACTATACAAAATGGTTTAATGAATGATAAAGAAGTGTTTAGCATTTTCAGTTTACATTTTTATGTGTATGAGTTATTTGTAGATAATTTTAGTTTTCAGAGAAATGTCACTGATGTTCCCCTTATGTCACTAAGATGACAGAAGCTAAGGTAATGCTGATAAATCTTGGATGTGGATAGAAATCTTAGACTACCTTGCATGCTATCACAACTTTATGAGGTTATACATTTAAGATATATAGACTAGAATACATCTTCTACTTGTCTGCTTTAGGCTTTTAAAGGCATCATACACAAAATATGATATATACTTTGGCTATTTGTTGTAAATGTGTCTTTTGTGTTGCAGCATGAAAAGCTTTCCATTTTAATTGGAAGTAGATGTTTTCTTTGCTAAAATATGCTCTTTACACAGATTGCTTTATTTTAATATTAAAATATAAGTGTATAAAAATGAGAAAATTGTAGAGGCTTCTGCTTCTTCAGAATTGAGGCGCATGTGAAAAGCTGAGCAGATTTTTATCACTGTAATAAAAATAGAATTTTCTAAACTGGCCATTCACCATATCAGCTATTTTTGTAACATTTCTATCTGTTTATTTTTCAGCTTTTTTAATCCAACTCAAATGAACTAAAACCAGAAGATTTTTTAAAAATGAAGTAATATACAGATTGACCTTGTCTCACTCTACTCCCCTCCTTGCTTCTCTGCTCATCTAGCACCTACCCGCTCTCACCCTTCCCATATTCTCTCCATTGCTGCTGCAAGATTTCTACAGCTTCTGTCATCTGGATCAGCCTTCTTGTTATCTAGATTTCCTCAACCATCTCTTCCTTCAAATCTCATCCTAGCCATGTTTCTGAATTGGCCTTTTTGTTTGGGGCTTGCAACTAGGTGCTTTAATTTAATTACCATACTGTGTTGCTCACTGAACTTTTTGTTTTTGCTTTCTACTGTTTCATTTTTAATTTTGTTCTTCATTTTGAGAAGTAATATTGAAATAAAACTAAAGTTATAAATGTTTTTAGATTAAATTAGTTGGATAATGTTTTAATCTATTGTAAATTTTTTAAGCTTTATTTTTAAAGAACCACTTAAATATAAATTCTGTTATACTTGAGCTAGTATATCAACGCTTTAGTTGAGAATAATAGCTTTTCTTTTCTCATTGGAACATTGGCCCCAAAGTCTTTTTGTTGATTGATTGTGATAATGATCCTCTGTTTATGCCCACCTAAGTGAGCTCAAGGCCAGTAGAAGGACTTATGGACTGAATGATAGGTGGGGCTAAAATATTAACATAGAAGATCAGTGGATTCTTTACTGAATAAATGTCTTTGACACCTAATTTTGATGTACCTAGACTTTTGTTTGAGGTTTAATATAGACTTAAGAATAATAAAAGAGCTTTATATTTGGGGTAAAAATCCATATTGGAATGCTGAATTTTTTCTTTTTTACAGAGAATACATATTGGCAAGTTGAGAGTTATCAACCTGTGAAACAGTATGCAGATTTGCGTCTTCAACTGTATCACATCAGCTGAATTTTTAATTTTTAATATTAGTTGTTTTTGTTTTCTTTTGCTTAATCTAATAGCTCAGTGTTTTGCATTTCCCAAATAATACAATGATCAATAATGCTTTCAGTGTTTATCAGCTTAAATTCATTTATGATACAGATAGTATCATCTCCCCTTCCTTCTAGTGTTAGTGTCTCTTTAATCCTAGTTTTCTTACTCTTATCTACATTCGTTTATGACACTATCTTTTAATCATATTTCTGGCTTGTTGAGCTTTTCTAACCTTCTTTTTTTAATCAGAGAAAATTCCTTCAAAATAATAAGACTGCTTTTTTTTTTTAGACTGACTACATTAACAGCATTATGTGATTGGGAATTCAGTGGAAAGAATTTTAAAATCTTCTCTTGAAAGACATTGACCTAGCTATTTTGTTTTAGATCAGACATGTATTGATGACATTTATGAGTTTTGCTTTGTATATATACTATGACTTGGAACAGACTCAATTTAAAATATGAAAATTACATATATAAATGTATATAAGGTCTTTTTCTATACAAACATAACATGTAATATCTGGCAGGTGGGTTTCTTTAAAGGCATTTCGTCTGTGAGAATATATTAATGATAAACTCTACATTTGAGGTAAATTACCATTAGAAACTAGAACTCTACCACAGAGAATTTGTTTTCTAGAATGGTTGGTAGGCAAGTTTTTTCTTTACATTTTTATGATGCTAAATTTATACCAATCAGGACATGTTTTAAAACCCACAATAGAAGAGTTTTCTAATCATTGACAGACACAAAGTTTATTCTTTGTTTTGTTATAGTAATTTGTAGCAACCAAGATGTGTGTGTGTGTTTGATTTTTGAAACTGGGAAAAAGTAGTCATTTTTAATCTGTTTTCATTGCATGTCTCATATTGAAGGAAAAGTCTAGAAACCTGTCATCTTGGGCATGAAGACATGAAATTAGCTACTCTTTTAATTTTAGATTATTTTGTGATCGACATTTGATTTCTAATTGCCTAAAAATAGTATGCCAAATGTGTTTTACTCATACAGCATCATCTTTTTTTATTAACTTCTCTAAACTGTCAACCTTGTTTGAGTAAATTATATTACTTTTTCTTAAAACAGGGTGGGAAACCAAAAATAGCCTGCATGTATTTCATTTTTAATTCCTTGTGGCCTGGGGAAGGGGTGTCACAGTTTGCTTCCACAGTGAAAGTACACTGCATGCGCAGAAATTCAAGAATAAAAATTAATACTAGGTGCAAAAATACCTACCACATTAGTATTTTTGAAAAAAATACCTACATATTTCTAAATCAGTAAGTTACAAATATAAACTTTTTATTTTTGTTTTTCTAGGTAGTGGGCAAAAAAGGAGAAAGCCACTAAGGTACAAAAGATACTGGAAGACCTATTGCAATCAGATTTGCAGCTCCTGGATAATTGCTTGATTCTCTCCAGAGACTGTCAATGTTTCATTCATTGCCATTACCAATAAATCATTGCTTTTGTTGAGATGGTATCACTAGTCTTTCTGTTGTAATCTTGATACATGCAATTGTAAATAAAAGTCACTACTTTTGCCAAGCTTAAATTTTGTCAGTCTATATAAGTATTTCTTCTTTCCTTTTATTTTAAAATTAGCCAGCTTCTGATTTTAGAAGAGACTTAAATGTTTGGTAGCATATTGACTGAAGCCTAATTTCTCTTTTTAGAGCATCAAAACTGTTGTAGGGAATCAAGGAGTACAGGTATACACATGCACATAGAGCACTCAGTTTTGAGAATGGACTTGGAATAGCTAACCATGTTCAAATGAGTATTGACTCCTGTTTTCTTTAAAAGATATTTGGGTATTTGGTATCTGGGCTAGAAATTATTCAAATTATAAATAGCAAGAAATAAACAGGCTTAAGGAGATTTAATTACTCTTACCTAAAACAGTTGATGGGTCTCCAAATCCTTTTCCATGCCAAATTTTAATCCATTCTGTATAAACTTTAAATTTTGATACTCATTTTCTGTAGTAATAAAGGAATGTCAAATTCAGACAGCTGGGAAAAATACAGTACAATAAATTTTGAAACAATAGGAATTCTTTGTAAACCAGTAATTATCCGAACTACTAAAACATGCAACATAGGTATATAGACAACATGATTTAAGGTTGAAAATGAGTTGGCTAAATCTTTGTGTTTAAAAGATCTTTAACAAAACGTTGGTTAAATATAGCATCTGTTCTTTGTTATTTTTTTTATCTTAAAATTGTAATCTGGAAAATAGTGATAAATTTAATTTTTAAGTAAGTATTTTTAAAATTTAATGTTAAGAATACCAAGACATAAAGTGTGATTCAGCTAATGCATTTGAAGACAGTCTTGTCTAAAAGTATGGTAGAGATGCTGTTTGCCCTTGTTTATATATGATTATGAAAAATTATGTGGAAGTTTTAATGTTGAAGTGGTCACTTTCTGAAACCCAAGTGTTTCTAGTTAATGTTCAGTTTATTTGTATGTGAGTACAGTACCTGGTGGTGTGGTGATGTCTGTAGTTTATGTATTTTACAGTTTTGTTGCCTTGGGTCAAGTGGAGGCAGAAAGGCAAAAAATAAAAGTTTATATCACTCCTAATATAGACCATCAGATTAATCACGCCTGAAATTAGAGATAAGATTAATACCAAGGATTTTGTTTTACATTTTTGTATACTTAACCTTTTTGGGTAATTGTTAAAGTGCCTCATCTTAAGTATCACTGACCTCATCCTATTTATACTTGACAGTTTAAAAACCCATAAAAATGATTTCATATTTGTAAAGGATTGGGCATCAGGTTTATATTGTTTATGTGACTTTTCTATAACTCAGTTGGTTGCAATATACAGACATTCCATAATAATTCAAATTGTAAATAGTGAAAATGTTTATAGGTAACTGTAATGTGTTTCACTTATGGGAAGTTTTACTATTACAAATAAACATGCTTAACTGACCTTATTTAAAATATCAAGATGAAATGCTGTTTTCTCCTAAAATAGTATATTTATATATGTGTATAACATTTATAAATAACTGAATTTTCTAGATGAATAAACGTTTGAGACAAAGGTACCCCTCATTTCAACCAAAGCTATCAATTACATAGCACTTTCTAGAAAACCAATATTGTTTATTGCTTGTTTTGTCACATATAGCAAAATGAGTATTTTGTTTGCATACCTTGTTATATTTTACATTGGGGTGCACATCTGATTGAGAAGCACCAGTGAAATACCCTGTCCAACAGAAGCAAAAGTGAAGTATTGCAGTACAAAGATCATCAGCAGATGGCTAAAGACAAGAATAGCACAGGATACCATACTTTATATCGGTGATAAGTCTTTATAATCCATTTTGGCCCTCTTTGTCATTAAACCTCAAGTTGTTGCCAGTCTCAATGTAGAATTAGAGACAAGCACTTAGCAATTCATTAGCAGTTAATAAGTGAGTTGAAAACTCTGCCATCCTTTTCCTAATATTTGAGGACAAAGTTTTTGCAGTGTTTGCAGGAATGGTTGTTAATGTACATTTGGCTACAGTCTTATTTATGGCTGTCATAAATAAAGACAGGGTCTTCCCATGTTTCTTTTAATCTCTAAAATATTTAATACTGTAATAACAGTAAAGTGCCAGAGCTGATTAAGTTAGTTATATCCTCTCTTGTAAAATTTCAAAAAATGACATTTTGGGCTTACATATATGGCTTATATTGATAATTATATAGATGAGTTCAGTAGATTAATTCTTATGAAGATAATTATTTTTGTAATTGGTCATTTCTAATTTTAAATAATTTTTAAGACAAGTAATTTGTACTAGAAAATTAAGTGAACCACTGAAGAAATTTAACAGGCATATTGAATTCATTTAGCCTTTAATTCTTCATTATTAGAGGTGTAGTAATGCATTCTGCAAAATTTTCTAAACACAAGTTATCTGTGCTTTATGATGTAAATGTAGCATGTTTGGTAGGTAGATAAGTTTAAAAATACTGGCCATTCCCTGGTTATGCCCATATTGCCTAAAGAGCAATCTTGACATCGTTTTAAGCATGCTTTTAAATTTAAATTTGTTTATCTTTAGATCAATAAGATTTTTTATATGCCCAGCACCATAGGGATATGTGGACATACTGGATATTTTATAGGCTATTAAGATCACTTTTAAAATTTATGCATTATGTAAAATCATTAATTGAAAAATGTGACTAAATCAGATAATTTTGTAAGATAAAAGAGAGAACCAGAATTTGGATATGTTACTGAAATTGTACACAACTTGGGTAATATTAAAGTCTTACAATATACAAACTTAAAACTGCTAGATTATTTCTCCTTCCTCTATATTTGCTATGCTTCTCTATGGGAGGAGGAAATTCAGTTACGTAGGAGTTACTGCTCTAGGATTATTTGTGAAAACATTGTTTCTTGGTTTATACTTGGACATGTGTTTGGAGAAACTGGCTCATTATGCTACTCAAGAGCAAATCTCTGAAGTTTGAATCTCTTCCTGCACTAGTTAACTGCCTCATGAGCAAGTAATCTTCAGAGCTTGAATTGCCTTTTGTGTGAAAATAGAAACATTTACCTCTTAGGCTTGTTTTGAAGATTAAATGCACCTTACTTTGTATCTTGGAAAATAGTAATCTTCTATACCCTGACTTCTTGTCTCAATGCCATTGTCTTTAGACTATCATTTTTTTGCTTAGCATACAGCAATAGGCTCCTAATTGTCTCCTGGCTTCTGACTTGGTCTTTCTCATGTATCTTCCATATGATTGCTGGCTATCTTTCCTTTACATGGTTTTCAAAATGATCCCTCTGCCAGCCTCTGGTTAACACTCATTTCCTCTGTATGCTGCATCCCATTTTCAATTACTGGAATGTACCCTGGTATCTTATGCCTTCCTCTGTCCTAACTTGTCCATCTGACAAATTACTACTTATCTACAAGACTCAGTCCAAGCAAAATAGACACAGCAAACACTCATAACAACCGAGTGCACATCTTCTGCTGTCAAAGCACCATCCAGTGATACCATCTTGGTTTTTATCCAACAACTTAACAATCATTTGTTAGTCTTATTTGTTCTATTAGACTATGAACAGTAATACAAGGATTTTGTGCCTAATACCAAACTGGTTTCTTTGATCTCTGTTATTGTTAGTGTTGAACACATTTTCAGGAGGAAATTGCTTGAGATGCTTGCAGTTAAGCAAGGTAAGGAAGAGAATTTCGCCAAAGAAAGGAAAAGTGTGTGGTGTGTTCATAAATTGAGAATTAGGTGTAAAATATTTAAGGAGTTGAGGAAAAACATGAAGCTGGCAGACGAGTAGAAACCATGATATGAGGCTCTTCTTGCCATGTGAAAGAGATTGGACTATCCTTAATTTATTGGGGGTGAGGTGGGGTCGACAAGGATAGTTTCAAAGTTTCTCACTTGTACAAATGAGTGGAGAAATAATTCTTAGGGGAAGCAACAAAGTTTGGAGGGGAAGATGAACATGGTTTTGGATATAAGGTCTTGGGGAGTGTGTAAAACACATTTTTGGCCTTTAGTGGAGATGTCTAGTAGGCACACAGACAAAAATGATTTGGGGCTAGATGTAGGGAACTGAGTTATTTGGAGATACAGTGGGAATATGAATGGAAGCTTCCAGAGAGGGTTTTTTAGGGGGCAGAATGAACTGAAGGAGCCCACATTAGGGAATACTGTGGAACAGTAAGGTAGAGGAAGAATGAGATGGTAGTGATGAGGAAATAATAGCCCTCATATCAGAAATGAAGAACATTGAAATGATCAGGGATGTGCACTTGTCAGCCCATTAAATTGTGAAAACAATCTTGTGTTTAATTATGAGAACCATTGATTGTATTAATAATCTTTGGGTTGAAGGAATTGTCAGCAGATAGAATGATTCTGAAACCCTTCCAGCGAAGAATTTTGGAAGTTTTAATAGTTGACAAATTGAACAGTTTTACAGGACAATTAGCAAGGCTTGGAGATTGATGGCAACATTCCATAAGAAAATGTAAAACACTGCTTTGAAGATTTAATTTTAAGCCTTTAGTTTTATTATCAGATTTTGTTTTTCTCTTATTTTGTTTTATGATCATAACTTTTATTCTGTCATTCTAGAACATTTTTTCAAGACTGCTTTGGCTCTCTTAAATGATACTTTCACAAAGAATTTCTTCTGTTAGAGTCCTAGATGTGCCATTTAGTTTCTTTAGTAATAAACTTTATAGGACAGCATCAAATGCCTAAGTTAAAAAAAAAAAAAAAGCCCTACTCTTTAGAGGTTTTGAGTAACGAGAAACTTCATCTCCCAGTGACCAAGAATAATAGACACATTACCACCGTTTCATTTCTCTGACCACTGGATCCTATCAAAGGGGTCGACACATTGATAGCATAAGGATGGTGCACCATGGATTTGACCAGGTGACTTTTTTGTTTAAAAATGAATATGTAATTCAAAATGCACAGTGTCAGGGCACCTGGGCACAAAATCAGGCCGAATGGAACCACTGGGATAGACTTGTGCAGAACTAATTAGGTGTCCATTGAAATGTCTCCTCTTTTTTTTATTATTATAATTTGTTATATATGACAGCAGAATGCATTACAGATCATATTACAATTATAGAGCACAATTTTTCACTTCTCTGGTTGTACACAAAGTATATTCACACCATTTGTGTCTTCATACATGTACTTAGGGTAATGATGTCCGACTCATTCCACCATCTTTCCTCCTGCCATTCCTCCTCCCACTCCTCCTCCCTTCCCTTCCCACCTTTTGCCCTATCTAGAATTCCTCTAATCCTCCCTTGCTCCCCGTCCCCAGCTCACTATGAATCAGCTTTCTTTTATCGGAAAAAAAGAAATGTCTCCTCTTTTGTTGTCTCTTGGAATCTAGCAATGTCAAGGGGTAGACAGTAGGATGTTCACATTTTTATTTTTTTAACTTGAAGATTTTTTTTCCTGGAATTTAAAATTTATTTATTTTTTTCTCTCAGTGCTGAATATTAAACCCAGGACCTCACATGAGCTAGACAAGCATTCTACCAACAAGCTACATCCCACAAAACAACAACAACAACAAAACAAAAACCTTTTTTTTTCTTTTTTTGAGACAGGGTCTTGCTATGTTACCCAGGCTGGCTTTGAACTTGTGATCCTCCTTCCTCAGCCTCCCAGGCAGCTAAAATTATAAGTACCCAGCAACATTTTTTTAACTTACATTGTATGTATTTTTTTTTGCTTTCTCTTACCAATCAAAATATGAAATCCATTGAATTTGAAAAATGCTAAAAATCTTTTTTCCAATGTATTCATTTTACAGAGTGTCCTAAAGCAATTGTTATCAGGGTTCTTTTTAATATATGCCTGTCATATCAGGCATTAGTTATTTTTATGAACATACAATTTTATCGTAAAGAAAACAGGTGATTAATTTGATAGACTGGAAAAGACCCCTTTAGATGGTTTACAAAACATTCTCTATAGCAGTTCTCACCTTAAAAAATATCTCAGATATGTTTAGAGAAAAACATCATCAATTGCCTTGGAATGGTATAAGCCCAAAG